AAAAAAAAAAAAAAAAAAGTACTACATTATAAGGTATAGTCAGTACAAGATTTTCTGTGTGCTCCATTAGCATATTTTTCTGTCACACACAGGTTGATAAAGTTTTTGGTTTTTCTTTTTCATTTAAGGGTAGGGACTATGTCCTAATTATATATGCACCCGTAAAGCCTACCTAGTACAGTGTTTCCCATATAAAAGACGCAGAAGTGCTTGCTTCAATAACATTTACTAATCATTTACTGTATGATGGAAATATTCTGCTTTCAATAAATACCTCATTTAATCCTTATACACACCTTATGAGACAGATATTATTCTCAATCCCATTTTACAAATGAAGGAATTGAGGCACAAATCACACAGCCTATAAATACCTGGGCTTGGATTTGGCAGTCTAACCACGCTAATCCTAGGGGGTGAACAGATAAATGAAAAACCTCAATGCTGCCTACAATTAACATGGAAAATCCAGTTAGCAAGTGAAAAGAATTATTAGAACTATATGGAAACAATTAGGAGCTATGGTAGCTTAGTGCCTAAGGCACTTGACTGCTAACCAGAAAGCTGGCAGTTCAAACCTACCAGCCACTCCTCGGAAGGAAGGTTGGGCAATCTACTTCCATAGTGACACTGCCTTGGAAACCCAAGGAGGGGTCACTATGAGTCGGGTCCGACTCGATGGCACATAACAACAACAACAACAACAACATGGAAACAATTAGTATTTTTTAAGTATAAGCAAAATTATCCATGCTATCATGTTGTATACCAATTAGTCTATTAGTAATACTCTGCATTACTGAGTTCAAGTATGTACTATTCTAAAGGATAACTTTATTTGAGTCTGACTTTCCCATTATGTTACTTTTGTAAAAGCAAAAATGACACTTCCCTTTCCTACAACAGGCATGGGCTGAGTGAAATGAAGTCAACTTTGTCAACATTAAAGGAAAGTTATGATATGCTAGTGTGGAATTCTGGACATTTCAAAAATGCTAAAACTGTGTTTCATATGTCTAAAATAAACTCACCTCTAAACACCTGTAAAGTGTCCTCATTTCATACTGAACTCTGTGCTTCTTGAAAATATGTACTGATTTGAGAAGAGTAAATCGCTCTATTTTCCTTGGAGGCTCATGTCTGAAAAAAAAAGGGGCAAAATAATACTCTTAAACCTGATGTTAAAACCTGAGTCACAGATATCAAAGTATGATTCCACAATTTTGTAGGTCAGGCTCATACCCAATTATAGACATTAACTACTGTTCATAGACTTCTGTTTGCCAAGACTGTCATCTGTAACAACCACCACTGTCATAAAGCTCAGATCAAAATAAATACCACAGACAGCAACGGGAACATTTTTCCAGACTGAAATGGGCATGTTGGCATACAAGAGTGTGTGTGTGTGTGTGCGCACGCATGCACACACACACACTTGCTTTTATACTTTTTAAGTTCCTTACTGACCAAATACATGAATTATGAACAACAGCATCAGTATGTTGGACACAGTGCAATGTCTGCTTCACATGTTTTGTTTTAGGAAAATCCACAGACATATCTAATACATTTTTGTTAGAAGCAAGACTAGCAAAGCCCCAAATGGGCCTTGTTCGGCACCAGCAGGAATAGGTAAGACAAAGGAGGCAGTTGTGCTTGACTCTGCAACTCAAAGACCACATGAAGCCCACCTTGCTCATGCATGGATTTATCAGGTGGGTGGCAAATCTTAAGAGTAGATATGAAACAAAAAATCATCAAATCCAAAAGGCCTGTAAGACTGATTGTTCACCTCCCTGTCCCATGGAGATCAGACACAATGGATTCTCAGGCCTGTGCAATCACTAGCAAAAGGACAGCCTTCATTTTTCTTGTTCACTCATTTTATTATCTAAAAATTCTAGTAGATAGGAGGGAGCTCTTGTAATGTAGTGCCTAAGGCACCTGGCTGCTAACCAGAAGGCTGGCAGTTCAAACCCACCAGCCACTCCTCAGAAGGAAGACTAGGCAATGTACTTTCATAGAGATACTGCCTTGGAAACCCAAGGAGGGGCTGCTATGGGTCGAATCGACTCGACGGCAGTGTTTTTTTTTTTTTTTTTCTTTTTTTAGTAGATAGGAAAGGTTAATCCTGCTTTAGGATAATATATGACAAACCTAAACTCTATCCATCAGAAGTTTCTACTCCATTTTAAGAGCTCAGCACCATTTTCCTGGTTGACCATATTACAGCAGCTAACAGGTCAGATTAGGAAAGGTTATACTTACACTTTAACAGAGATACCAAGTTCTTTAGCAGCAAGCACAGCAAAATATTCATAACTGTCCAGTACAGCCTTATCATGGCCTTTTACTAAAACCGACAGGCGCTTATACAATGTGTCTGGTTCGTCAGAAATTGTTATCTACAATTTTAAAATCAAAAGATAAGTTTCAGTCTAATATTGATAACTAGTAAATTTTATATGTTACCTTCAATTGCACAACCTAAGAATTACTAGTCAAAGGGGAGAAAAAGGCTGAATAACATCTTAACACTGTTAGCTAAGTATGTGGACACTATCTCATTCAGAACTGTACAATGATCGTCAACTCTTAAAATGCAGTGTGAATCAAAATGACTTTCAGGCATCTTACACAATCACTAAGGGAACTCTCTAGCTTAATAATTACTAAGCCCCAAACATACAACGGAAAGGGATCCTAGGGTCTGTTAACAAAACAGCCTGGTTGGAAGACCTAGATTCAGAATTAAACTCTGCCACTTCCAGGTGAATGATGATGGGACAGCCATTTAATTTTACTGCACTTTAGTTTCCTCATATAAATACTGGGTAATAATACCCACACTATAGCTCATGGCATTTCTGTAAGAAACAAATAGGGAAACGCAGGTTAAAGTGTTTATAAATTGCAAAACTGTTTTACAAAGGTGAGCTATTGCTCTTCATATTATTTTCTACTAGGTTTTATTCACGTATAGTTTGCCTGCTTTATATACAAACTACTCATTCCTAATTAAAATGCTATGCACTGACTGTACATATAATTCTTCTACCTCTTCCACCCCAACACCTCATCACCTTAGAAATAATGTGTTTGACATTTTTGACTTTCTTCCAAGAGGTGAATTACCTTCACTCTATCCATCCATTAAGCCACTGATTTCTATTACTAATCCAAATGATTCAGGGTTAAGTTACTTCACCCCTGAAAGAGATTTATTTACTAAACAGGAAGCTAGTCACCCACTCCCAATTACCCAAAATAGAGTTCTTGGAAGAACAGAATATACTGATATCATATGTCGTAAGTTGGAGCTCAGAGAAGGAGAGATACGATCCTAAGGTATGTTTTGTTTGGTCCCGATTGGGTTTTAAAGAAATTTTGAAAATTTTTATAAATATTAAAAATCAGGAGATTTCACACAAAAATTAGGATGTTTAGTTCAACCTGGAAAATGCAGCAGATCTGTCATCACTAGGTTTGATTTCCCACATGGCAACAAGTGGCCAATGCAGAAGCTGCCTCACTGCTATAGGGTACAGCCTGACACTGTGCCCACCTGCCCCCTGCAGCAACTGAGTTTGAGACCCTAGATTATATGAACTGTCATGGAAATATATTCAATATCAAGTGAAAAAAATGAAACAGTAATACGTTATGTAAAATACGATTCCATGCCACTTAAAAAAAATAAGTGTAGCGTATACGGGAGGGAAGGACACAGGGAAGATGTAAATATAGAGAGGAAGTAGGAAGAGAGCTGTCATATTGTGGGAAATAGCAGTCAGTGTCATGACACAAAGTCCATGTGAACTGCTGTATGGAAAATGAATTTGCTCTGTAAACTTTCACCCAAATCACACTAAATTTAAAAAAGAAAATAAAGCATTGTCCATGTCCAGGCCCAGGGCCAGGCTCAGGCTCTTACAGTGAAAACAAAGCCTTAAGGTTTACAAGAAAGATAATTTTCCATAACATGTAATATCACATATTCTGCATCATTAAGATAAATCAAATACTCTTCACATTATGTTGAGCTAAGAGCAGGAGACTGCTTACTCCCACAGCTGTTATTTGGGGTAAATAATTTATTCCTTTAGAACTTATCTTAAAACGTTGAAAGATAACCTGAGTACCCAGGGACATCAGAGAAGACTTTACTTAGGCACATTGCATTTGCCAGTATTCCAGAAAAGAAAATTAAAAAAAAAATAAATAAAATTCCTAAACGGTTTGGGAAACACCTGAAATGAAATAATGGAGAACACTTTATTGCTAATATAACTCCATATACCAAGAAATAGGGAGTACATACCGTGGGCTTGGTCAAATCCTTGGGAATATCAACATGCAGGTTTGAGAACTGCACCCACTTCATATTGGTACTGCTGGATGGGGGGAGAGGGAAGAAGCAAAACCTAAATGAAACAGTACAGAGTCCATTATACTGTTCAGTTTAGCATATCCAATTGTATACTTACAGAAGAAAGCCACCATTTCCGGCTGTATTGTTCCTAGAACTATTTACAGAAAAATTCTCTGACCCCTTTAAAAAAAAAAAAAAAAAAGAGGACATATGTTAGAATTAAAGTCAATCATAAAACCATTCAATTTCCACTAAAAATCAAAAGATGTATGATGCATCAAATCAAGAGATACCTGATTATTTCAGATTACAATATTGGTCCAACTGAAATGGCCAACTTAGATTTTAAAAAAATGAGGATGATAAAGTTGATAATCAAAAAGCACTCTCAAAATTTTAAAGAATCTCTTTTCTTTTAAAGGAGCTCAGGTGGTGTAGTGCCTAAGGCATTTGACTGCTAACCAGAAGGCTGGCAGTTCAAACCCACCAGCCGCTCCTCAGAAGGAAGACTGGCCAATCTACTTCTGTACAGACATAGGCTCAAAAACCAAGGAGGGGTTGCTATGAGTTGGATCCAACTCGACAGCAGTGAGTTTGGGGTTTTTTTGGTCTTATCTTTTAAAGCTCAGAAGCAAAAACTTTTTGAAAACCAATTTTCACATGAAAAGAACAGCTATGAATTAAACATGTAGACATCAAGGAATAAGACATCACATGTGATTTCAACTTTCCCATTTTTTAAAACATATTAAACATGTTTCAATCTAATACTTATTTTGTCTGAATATTTTTGACGAATGTAACTATTCTAAGTGCCTGTATAATCTAATTTATTAAGAGTTGGAGTAAGAACTCTAAAGTACCCTTCTTTGGAAGCTTTCATGTATCTTTTCCAGCATATGTATTTCTTGGTTTTACTGGGATAATTCATTTACAAATACATTAAATACACACTGGAACTTTTACATTCATTATTATTTACTGTTCCAAAAGCTGCAACAACCCAGCGTTTCTTAATTCTTTATTGTTAGTGCCCCCTGGTGGAACAAAACTTCTATTGTTAGCTGCTGTGGAATGCGTCCCAACTCACAGTGACCGGTGTACAACAGAACAAAACACTGCCTGGTCCTTCCTCAGCCTCACAATCCTTGCTATACTTGAGCCCATCGTTGCAGCCACTGTGTCAATCCACCTCACTGAGGGCCTTCCCCTTTTTCCCTGACCATCTACTTTACCAAGCATGATATAATTCCCCAGGGAATGGTCCCTTTTGACAATGTGACCAATTTTATTACTCTAGCTCTGGTAGCATAGTGGCTAAGGCACTTGACTGCTAACCAGAAGGCTGGCGGTTCAAACCCACCAGCCACTCCTCAGAAGGAAGGTTGGGCAATCCTACTTTCGTAGTGATACTGCCTCGGAAACCCAAGGAGAGGTCGCTATGAGTCGGGGCTGACTCGACGGCACATAACAACAACAACAACATATGATATGTAGCTGATTCTCCACTTGCCTTTCCTTTAAATTTTCTTGAGATTTAAAAGTATAACCTGTTAAAATGAATGCTGTTGCTGTGTGCCATCGCATCAGAACGTCGAGTGGATTTTGATTCACAGCGACCCTATATGACAGAATATGACTGCCCCATAGGGTTTGCTAAGCTGAAATTTTTTATGGGAGCAGATTGCCAGATCTTTTCTCCTGCAGTGGGTCCAAATCACTGACCTCTGGGTTAGCAGTTGAGCTCTTAACCATTGCACCAGGAAGCACAATACCAAACTCAAAAGCAAACTAACTGCCATCGACTCGGAATGATCATAGACCCCTTTTGGGTTTCCGAGGTGGTAAATCTTTACGGAAGTAGGTTGCCTGGTCTTCCTTCCGCAGAGTGGCTGGTAGGTTTGAACCACCAACCTTCTGGTTAGCAGTCAAATAAATGCCTTAGGCACTACGCCACCAGAGCTCCCTTTAAAATACTTCAGAGATGAGAGTGTTTTAGCACAAAACCAAAAACAAAACCCAGTGCCATCGAGTTGATCCCAATTCATAGTAACTCTATAGAACAGAGGAGAAGTGCCCTATAGGGTTTCCAAGGCTGTACATCTTTACAGAAGCAGACTGCTTCATCTTTCTCCCACTGAGCGGCTGGTGGGTTTGAAACACTGACTTTTTAGTTAGCAGCCAAATGCTTTCACCACTGTACTACCAGAGCCCCTACAAGTGAAATTTAATGAAAACAACTGATAGTTACCTAATTAAAAAAGATAAAAAATGTTTTCTGTCCCCAGCCTATTGTTTGTTTATGGGTGGCGTAATGCTTAAGGCACCTGACTGCTAACCAGAAGGATGGCGGTTCAAACCCACCAGCCACTCCTTGGAAGGAAAGTTAGGCAATCTACTTCTGTAGTGATACTGCCTCGGAAACCCACGGAGGGGTCATTATGAGTTGGATCCGACTTAATGGCAGTGAGTTTGATTTGGTTTGCTCTCTGTTCAAAATGAAGGCAAATCAAAGCTTTCCATATTCTCCCTTGGATCAAGGGGAAAAAAAAAAAAGAAATCAGACACAGGACAAGGTGATAACAGGCATATGTCATTCTTCACATAATCACACAGAAAATTCCTTTCTCAGATTTCTGCCATGACCCCACAATCCAGCTGTACAAAAGGACCACTTTCCAATCACGTTATTCCAGTATAAACCTGTTTTTTAAAACTGGAAACTAAAATGCTGTTACAGGCACAAATCAACCTTAAAGTTTTGTGTTTCTTTTCAATAGTCATAAATATATATGTAACAAAAAACTGCCATTTCAACATTCTTCACATGTACAATTCAGTCCCATGTGTTCCTCCCTTTCTATTTTCTTACTTTCAGGGGTGGAATTTTGTGTGTGGGGAGGGTTGTCTGGGTCAGTTTGTTTTAGATTGTTCAAAAACTTCAATCCCTAATACCATCTGCCTTTTCTTAAGAACATCTATTCTAAAGTATAGTTTATGGACCTCTGAGGGTTCCCCTATACACTTTCAGGAGATCCGGGGTATCAAAACTATTTTTATAGTAACGCAAAGACATCATTTAGAGCTTTTCCTCTCATACTCACATATGTGCACAGTGAAGTTTTCCAGAGGCTGCATGACTGTGACAGCAACAGATCGAATGCAGCAGCAGAGACAAGAATCGAGCTGTCTTCTATTAAAAACACTCGACCATCTAGTGGATTCCGACTCATAGCGACTCCTATCGGGTTTCCAATTTTTAGGGAAGCTGACTGCCTCATGTTTCTTCCGTGGAGCACCTGGTGGGTTTGAACTTACGACCTTCTGGTTAACAGCCAAATGCCTTAACTACTACTCCACCAGGGCTCCTTGTCTTCTATTAAAGATATTTACAAAACTGTAAACCATTGCCATTCTTCTCACTACAAGTGTTTCTGTTTAGAAAACGATAATTATTTTCCATAAAAGATGTTAATTATGCTAACATGTAATGGGTTTATTAGGTATTTCTTTTTAATAGTTTGAGTTTTATTTTCCAATAGATAAAATACCAGTACCCCAAATCTACCCCCCCAAAAAAAAAAGTTTTGGAGTTCACAATCATTTTTAGAACGTAAAGCGGTCCTGAGGCCAAAAAAGCTGCTTAAGATCTGCGTCTTCTCCAAAGAACCACAATCAGAAGACATTTAAACCAACCCTCTAACTTCATCGACTCTCGCTTCAGTTCTATGGGAAGAGTCTGAAATTGTGCGCCTGCTCATTTTGGCCGAGTAAGTCTCCCGCCCTCTCTGAGCTTGTTTTACAAATGTAAAAGGGGTGGGGTGTTGGAATATATAATGTTCAAAATCTTTTCCAGCTCTAAGAGTCTTCATCTTCCTGTGTGTCCCTTGACTATGTTTAATCTCATTCAAGAATGAGAGAAAACCAAGTCACTTTCTCGCCGTATTCCTTGTAAACATCGGGCTAAGGTGCGAAATAAATGTTGGTGAAGGCTCCTGACAGGCAGAACGGCGGGTGGCAGAGAGACTTAGTGGGAACTGTCCCCGTTGGCCCGCCCAGCATCCCCCAAAAGCCCCAATACCTGCCAAAGGCGCCGGCACACGGCCCCAAAAGCTGCTCGCGCCGCCATTTTGCCGCCCGCTCTCCCAGGATCGCTTCCGGGGTTACGGCGGGGTCCTCAAACCATAGAGTTGGGTAACGACCATAGAGACTGGCTGCCGAGCTTTAGACGAGTGGTACTGAGACTACAGGTGCCTCCTGTAGAGTTCGTGGCCTCCCCTCGCTGGCACCGGTCTTGATAATGCGGCTTCAGTTCATATGTAGATAATAACAAGTTCCATCAGTGTTTTCCCTTTTCAAATTGTGCTTGGCTTATGTGGTTCTTCTTTTATTGGAAACAAGCAAAACACGTTCTTGGCAAAACAATATTAACTAATATATTGACAGTGATTATCTCTGGGTAATGGGGTAATGGTTGATTTATTTTCTTATTTCTATATTTTGCAAAATTTTGGAAGGAAGGTTGGACAATCTACTTCTGTAGTGATACCGACTCGATGGCACACAACAACAACAACAACAAATATTCGTTAAAAGAAAGAGAAGTTTACCACTGCATGGAGTTGGGAGTCCCTCAGTGGTGCAAACTGTTATGTGCTCTATTACTAGCTGATATGTTGGCCAGCTAAGCCCACCCAGAGGTGTCTGGGATGAAAGGTTTGGTGGATCAACTTCTGAAAGTTCACAGCTTTGAAAACTGGAGCAGTTCTACTGGGCACACATGGGGTTGTACTGAATTAGGATCAGTACAAAGGCAACTAACAACAACAAACCATTGAGTCCCTGCCCCAACCCTGTACTGCACTGTGATAGCCTTCTAGCTATGTTCACTAATCTATCTTTCCTTCCCACATCAATTGATCTTCTTGTTCTCCAGCCATCTGGCACACTACTACTGTCCAAGCGATCTTAAATAATTTGTTTCATTGTTAACTTTAGTATTTCAGAATTTGCAATGGCTGACTTCACCTATCATAATAAGCCAAAAAGTATTTAGTCTGGTTATTATTGTCCACTGTAACTCAGCTGCAAGTAAAAAGGTTTATAACTAGGATTTGCTATGATAAAAATTCTTTCCATTTGTTCAAGTTTCTAAGCTTTATTTTTCCAAAGTGTTTTCACATACACAATTTGCCATAACAGAACACTCTAGATTTATAATCATTGGATTAATAAATAAAGAAATGAAATCTAACTTATTACAATCATTATCTGAATGCAAACATATATGGAACTTGGATTGGTCCTTTCATCTTCTCGGGCCAAGCCATGCTGAACCTACTGTCCTAATGGCTTTGGGTCAAATGCCAACTCTGGTCCAACTGGGGGCAGATGGGCTGTATGAGTCATGATGAGATGCAAAACCAGGTTTTGTCAACAGGGGGGCTGTGGACAAGGCTCTTTTCTTTGGCATGGCATATAGACTTGGTGAGTGTTTTGAGACTTGGCTTGTCCATCATGGCTCTCCTCTCTCCCTCTTTTTTTTTTTTTTTAATTTTTATTGTGATTTGGGTGAAAGTGTACAAATTCATTTTCCATACAGCGATTCATACACATTTTTTCCATGACATTCCTGCAATTTCCTCACAGTGTAACAGCTCTCTTCTCACTTCCTCCCTGTACTTACCTCTTCCCAGTGCCCTTCCCTCCCATGCACTCCCACACCGCTGAGCTAACTCCCTGTGCAAACACTGCCCTTCTGTTCTCCCATGATTGATCGCGCCAAGGAGTATATATCTACCAGAGGTAAATGTTCACCCCATATGCCTGTCTGTTGTTTGGCTGGAAGCCACAGGAGGGAGTTCAGTTCCAGACCTGAAGGTGACTAGGAGCCATAGTCTCAGGTCTCACCAGGCTCTATCAGACCAGCAAACCTGATCTTTTATTTATGATTTTGAGTTTTGTTCCACATTGTTCTCCCACTATATCCCAGATCTCTTGCACCGACCCCCCTCTGAGTGGTTGAGTGGTAGCCAGGCACCATTTAGTTCTTCTGGTTCTGGTCTCATGGTTATATATATATATATATATATATCCTGAAGATCATAGGGTCTACTAGTCTCCTGGACTAATTGTTTCCGTGCATCTTTGGTTTTTTTCATCCTTCTTTACTCTGGACGAGGAGAGATCCATTGTTGCATCTAGAAGGCCACTTGCAAGCTTTTAAGACTCAGGGCATTACTCACCAAAGTAGGATGTAGAACAATGTTTTTGTGTAGTATGTTATGCCAATTGAGCTTGATGTCCCTTGTGACCATGGTCACAAGCCCATAGGTCCAACTACTTGATCCCTCAGGGTAGCTGGCTATGGCCAAGAAGCCACCACAATCTTGTCCCTTGTCAGCTCTGTTTTACACCCGGACATTCTTTTCTTTTTTAATTGTGGCTTAGGTGAAAGTTTACAGAGCAAATTCACTTTCCATACAGCAGTTCACACACACTTTGTCTCATGACACTGACTACAGTTTACCCTAATGCAACAGTTCCCCTCCCACTTCCTCCCCACATTTACCTCTTCCCTGTGTTCATCCCTCCAGGCACTCCTGCCCCCTGAGCTGTCTTCCTGTGCATACACAGCCCTTCTATTCTCCCATGATTGTTCCCTCCAAGGAGTATATCTACCTCAAGTAAATGTTCAACTCATATGCCTGTCTTTTGTTTGGCTGGAAGCCACAGGTGTGGGTTCAATTCCAGACCTGAAGGGCAGCTAGGGGCTATAGGCTCAATGGATCCACCAGGCTCTACATCCGAACATCCTTACAGCACATAAAAATACGCTTGTAGAAATATCATTTGCCAACCCCATACTTGGTCATTGGCGCACTGCCCCCTGCCTAGACATACCTGATCTTTCAGCCTGTCCACCCGTCTATGCAGCCATAGATCAGTGCTTGCCATCACTGACAATGCAGTACTGTACATGCAAAAGGGTTCATCTTTGTTGTCTGTACCTCCCATGTGCCTCTCTCTGTCTTCCTCTTCCTCAGTGCCACTGTGTTGATCACTCACTTTTGTTCCCTTCACCCAAATCAATACTTGTCTCTACCTATCTAGCTGCCTCTTAAACTTTTAAATATCTAACTGAATGTAGATGACCAGGAGGCCAATGATTCAAAACAGTTCATGCAAATACGCCTTGCTTTATATTCAGGAAAAACAGAAGTGTGTACCACAAATATTTGTAAATTAAATCACATTGATCACACCAGTGGTTCTGTTTTAAAAGACAGCCTTTTTCAAAAGATTTATCTCTTACAAAGAACTACCATATGACCCAGCAATCCCAATTCCAGGACAAGTGAAAATAGTAATTCAAACAGAAACCTCTATCCAATGTTTCTTGTAGCACTATTTACAATAGCCAAAATGTGGAAAAAACTGAAATGTTCATTAACAGTTAAACGAAATGTGGCATATACATACAATGGAATACCACCCAGCCATAGAGTGAAGTCCTAATGCATGCCACAATGTGGATGAACTCTGAAAACATAATGCTAACAAAGTAAGTTAGTTACAAAGGAACAAATAGTGTATGATATCATTTGTATGATATCATTTGTATGAAATGAGCAAATCCTTAGAAACCAAAGATTATTAGTGGTTACCAGGGGTAGAAGGGAGGGGGAAAGAGGGAGTTTTTGCTTAGGGAGCTTTGAATTTATGTTAATGGTGGTGGAATGATTTGATAAAGAATAGTGAGAATGGTTGCACAACTTGAAGAATGTAATCAATGTTATTGAATTATACATGTAGAAATTGTTGGGAAAAAAAAGGTTCTCTCTCTTATATAAAGGAAATAATCAGCCTTTTGGCTCTTTTATACAGGAATAATTGTGATCCAAGGATCACTTCGTGATCACTCAGTGTTGCTATAACAGAAATACCACAAGTGGGTGGCTTTAACAAACAGAAATTTATTTTCTCACAGTTTAGGAGGCAAGAAGTCCCAAATCAGGGTGCCAGCTTTAGAAGAAGTCTCTGTGTCAGCTCTGGAGGAAGGTCTTGCCTTTGAGCTTCTGCTCTTGGGTGACCTTCATGTGGCTTGGCATGTGCCCTCCCCCATCTCTGCTTGTTTAATCTCTTTTATAAATCTCAGAAGAGATTGACTCAAAACACACTAGTCCTGCCTCATTAACATAATAGGCAACTCATTCCCAAACAGGAGTATACCACAAGCATAGATGTTAGAATTTATAACACATATTTTTTGGAGACACAGTTCAATCCCTAACACTCAGAAATATATTATTCGATTTCTTAACATGCCTCTTTCTAATTATGTTTTGCTTATGTCAACATTAAAACTCATCCACATTCCTAGAGCATATTCAATATTGAGTGGTTGGCTGTGGCATTCAGAATTGACTTGGGATAAACTCTAGAGTTATTTACACACACACACACACACACACACGTCTGGTGGGCTAGAAAGGTAATTAGTTTAACAGAGTTGCTGAGCATCTGCTGTATATTGCAGTATATGTGTGGGTGGTGGTTAGTGGTGAGGGGATTTAGAATATTAATAAAGCATGACCTTTGCTCTTCCAATAGTGGAGTTGGATCAGTTCCAAAGCCCCCAGATGCTCCTTCTGGATATTAAATTCCTTGGCAAGAGAGAGCCATGTCATAGTCATCTTTTTACACGTGTATATAACACAGTGTGGAGTAGTGCCTGGTACATGGTGCCTCGTGAGTATTAAATGAATGAATGTAATAGGCGAAAGCCTTCAGATTGAACACCTGGGTCTCTGGAAGTAGTATGAAATACACATTGCTTCTAGAACAGCTATTTAACTGGTTATAGGACTATCTAAAATAGATTGGTAAAACTAAAGATACCAGAAGAACCAAGATAAAGGCCCTCATTAAAGCAAAATCTGTGAAATCCAGAATTTCAGATTTCTCTAAAGCTTGTTTTCGAACATTAAAAATTAAGCACACTTCCTAAAATCTGGAAATGCTGATTTGCAATGCATATAAATCAGGGTGGCCATGGATTTTGTGGAGGATTTACTTTGAGTTACCCTCATGTGTGTCCGAGTTGAACTGTGTTCCACAGGGTTTCCAGTGGCTCATTTTTCAGAAGCAGATTGCCAGGCCTTTCTTCTGAGGTGTCTCTGAGTGGACTCCAACCTTTAACCTTTTGCTGGCAGCTGAGTGCATTAACTGTTTGTGCCACCCAAGGACTCCACGTCATACTGAGCTCCACTAAACTGGAGTTTGATTAACATTGTTTGTTGTTGTTGTGCGCCTGAGTTGATCCTGACTCATATGGACCCTACAGGGTAGAGTGGATCTGCCCCATAGAATTCCCTAGGCTGTGATCGTTAATGGAAGCAGATAGCCAAATCTTTTGTTTGGTGGAGGTGCTGGGTGGATTTTGAACTACTAACCTTTTGGTTAGCAGCCTAACACTTAACCAGTACACCATCAGGGATCCTCCATAAAGATTACAGCCTAGGGGCAGTTCTACTCTGTCACAGGGGTCAGTATGAGTTGGAATTGACTCAACAGCACTGGGTTTAATCTTTCACTGGAAGCAGATTGCCAAGTCTTTTCCCCTGTGCAGTGGCTGGTGGGTTCAAACTGCCAACCGTTGGGTTAGCAGCCAAGCTCATCAGTTTGTATGTCCTGGCCTCCAGTGTGGGCGGGCACTTTGATGAGCACTCAGTCTGATCAATAGGCCTCCAAATAGGTTTGACAGAAACCAACCAGCAGGTAATTAGCATTTAGGAAGCATTGAGAAATCATTTCAGGGGCTAGAAAGAAGGAATATTTAAGCCAAATGAAACTCAAAAAGATAATATTTTATTTTCAGAGCAGCCGATGCAATATTGAATCAGGTTTTCACAAATAAATATGACAGTGTCTAATTGGTTACATCTCTATATGATGGATGCCCATCTATAGGAACTGAAATAAATTTGAGAAGTTTAATGACTAGAACATTTTAAGCTAAATCTTCCTGGTTCTCTTCCTGAAAAAGTATAATTTAAAAAAAAATGCTTATCATTCAGGGGGAAAAAACAACCTAGAATGCCCCAGTTTTTTTTTTTTTTTTTCAAGGAATGCACTTTTTAGGACAAGTCTATAAAATATCTTTATTTATTTGTTACATATGATGTTTAAATATAACTTTACTTTCAAGCTTCAAACTTTTTTTTTTTTTTAACCCCCTGGTAAAATAAGACTTTTGGTTCATCTTAACAAAAACTGAGCTAGGAAGAAACATTTTTAGCAAAATGTTGTTATAAAATTCACTAGAAAATACTGTTCTTTTTTGTTGTTTTTGTTGCCAAAATGTTACATAAAATCCTTGTTAAAAATACACACATTACAAAAGAAAAATTATGAATATGATATACATAGTGCTCTCGATATGAACCAAGGGACCTGCATTCTGGGGGAATACAGTTAAGCACACTGGATATTATGATGTCAACTTATAATAGTGCAAACGTGAATAAGTTACATCCTGAAATGGAAGGCATGCAAGTCAGTTGCTGAGAATAGAACAAAACGAAGCCAGAACAGGAAGCAATCACAACCACTATTTAAAAATGTTTTTGTTTTTATTACATTAAGTCTTTTTTTTTCAAAAATACTTTTCTTTACAATAGAACTCCTAGAAAATATTTACACCCTTCCTCTAATAAAATATAACAGCAGTTAAATATATTTGAAAATAAGATGGGTTTTTCCATAAAATATATCTGTTGACTTTTTATATACACGCTTTCTCAAAGAGGTCTAAATTCACTAATGAGAAACCATCTGATAGTAAACAATAACCATGTTGAAGACATTAACCATTAGAAAGGAAAGTACTTCGGGGTGGGGTGGGGGTAAAGCTAAAACACAACACATACATGCAGGCAGAATCATTTCAGGAAAAAAAAAGTGCAATATTTTACTATGATGTCAATTCTTTAAACCAATATTGTCAAGAAACTCTAATTCAGGAATTGGAACTGTCTCGTTAAGGAGGAGTTCTTTGGTTATTTCAAGTCAAAAATCCTTACGTTATACTGCACGAAAAATTAAATTGTGCATTTTATTTTTACCTTGGCAACTGTTTATTTTTAATGTTTAAAACCAGACAGCTGGGCAAGTCTCCAGATGGGAAATGCATTTGCTTTATAAACATTTTTCTGGGTGTTTACTCCTTTGAATAGATACGCTTCCATAGACCCAGGAGCAGAACCATCCTGGAGTCACTCCCAGACACCAGTTAAGTGGAGGGAAGTGGTGCAGGGGCCGACTCCATCTGTGTCAGCCGACACGATGACAGCTGGAATGGTTCTGTCATAGTTTTGCCATAAAGTTGGTGTCTACTGTCAAAGCAAATTCTTAAATCAAAACTACTTAGTTAAAACACAGGATATAATAGCCTATCTGGAATGGCAGCAAACAAAACACTTTTTTCCCCACTAAAGAAAAGATGAGGGAAACCTCCAAAACCTCTTTTCTGAAAACAGAATGATAGGAAAATGACAAGAATCTTTGTATTTTTCTTCTGTCCGTGGCTTTCCTGAGATTCTGAGAACACCGCCTATGGGGGCCACTGTGGGCCATAGCTGGCTTCCCGATGAGGCTGTGCTAATGCTTTTGCAGAGTCAAACTTGAAAGATGCTTGGGTCCTACCTCCTGCTTCTGCTGATACTCTAATGTCAAGCTATTAACCTGCCAGCCAAGTGGCCCAGCATGATCCCTGCACTGATGCGGAGCTGGGGAACAAGCCTACCTGGACTGGGGCAAGGCCTGTAAACACAGCATTAATGTTGAAGGTGAGAGGCAGGGTCTTCTCAGTGCCAGGTGATGTCTGCCCTAACAGTGGGCTAGATCAGTCTGACTCAGTTGGAAGCCTGAGCTGAATGACATTTTTGAAGGATTATAGGTTTATTACCTTCAAGTACAAATAGTAACCCTGCTGACAGGGACAGGAAGAGGCAAAGTTATGCAGCTTGGAGAATTCTAGAAGTGCTTTGGTAAATGATGTGTAATGAATACATTCATCGTTTGAATGCAAACATTGTCGCTAAAGTGGTATCTGAAACCATTTTTGCTGGCTTTCAATGCTATTTCCCTTGTACTTGCTATCCCTTTGTTAGAAAACCCTTTTTTTCTCATGGTTAATGTCAAAAGTTAACCAGTCCAGCACATGCACATTCCAGCAAAATCCTGGTGAATGAGGTTTCACAGTACTTCCAAATGGCACAAAGTAATTTCAAAACTCCGTTGACCATTAACAGTGTTGCAAAAGAAGAAAAGACTCTTGGGATCTTTGGGCAAAAGAATACATCCTGGCATTCCAGGTACTTCCATGTGTGGCCCTCATCCACCATGCCTAAAAACAAAAGCCAACTTGGATAGCCCTGGCAAGTTAATAGTTGGGGTTATTTTACTTGGGAAGGGTCTCTAGTCAGCTCTTGCTGAAACACAGCTCTGCCGGCCTAGGATTCAGATCCAGCTACAGGGACATGGGAGAGGCCATGTCTGCCCTACAAACCAGGTCCTTGGCAAGTCACTGTTGGGGGATTGCAGGCCTGAGGTCATACAGTGCTCACTTCCTGTAAACAGGTCATGAAGGAACAGGCCAGATAGAATAAAAGTCAATTTTCATGTTTGGTCAACTCTTCAAATGATGTATATGCTCAAGAGCAGAAAGCCGTGGGACAGAAGGGCTAGCTTTGCTTGCTGGAAAGCTACCCCTTGCACAGAGTCTCCTGGAAAAAACACCAGGATCATTGCAAACTATAGAATGAGGGTCAGAAGAGAACAAAAATAACCCTTGGTGGGAAAGGATGGCCCGAGGCCCCAGCACACAGCGGGGAACCTGCTTCGCAAGCACACAAACACACACTCACAGCAAGCTCGGGGATAAAAGCCATCCAGGGTGGCGGACACCTGAAAGCTAACAGAACATGAACATTACTTGCCAGGAAAGACTGCAGGAGAATGGAGGCCGGATGAAACACCTCTTAAAGATACTTGTGCCAATTATTTATTCCCCCCAACTCCCCCCATAAACAAAACAATTTTTTCTTTTTTTAAATAAAAGGAAAAGAAATTGGATTTTCCCCCCCAAACCTGAATAAAATGACCACTTTTTAAACAGGTAGTTTAAAATGGTTACAAAGCAAGCAGGCAGTCCAAGTTTCCTGATGAATGAAGATGGAAGCTGTGGTTTCCACTGTCTCTAAATGACAAGGGACTTTATAGTTCTGTGTCACCCTGAAGCAAAACTGAATCTTGATCATCCAAGAGGAGACTGGTACCCACGACCTCAGCCTCTTCCATGACACCTCCTAACTGCTGGACCACGTCGTCATCGAGGATGTCCACGTCCTTGATGGGTTTGATCAAGCTCAGCTGGTCCAGAGGCAGCAGCCCTGGCCCCCCCACTGGCCCTGTAGTCCTCTCGATGGTGGCTGCCATTTCAGCTGCAAAGGCTGCTTTCTGAGCCTTTTGCCTCTGCTGTTCCTCCTGCTGCCTGTGGGTTTTCATGTGTGCATTTCGGCTTTTGATCTTAAAGAAGACCCTGAAAATGAAGAAAAAGAATGGTGTGAAATTGAGGAGGAGATTCTGGTTCTTGGAAATCAAGGTGTCTTACATGGAATAGGACTTAACACCTAGTTAGGGTTAGTTTGCTAGAGTCCCTGTTCCTCAGTTCCAAGGACCTCCTTTCATGGACTAGGGCTTAACACCTGTTTGAGGGTTAGTTTGCTAGAGTCCCTGTTCCTCAGTTCCAAGGACCTCCTTTCCCTGTGACCTGTCACCCCCCTCTCCTCTTCAAGGAAAAGAGATGGACAGGAATGCATTTATGGAGCATCAGGCTTCCTTTCTATTACAATGGAGGATGCCTTCTCAAAGGCTGTCCTGTCCATCTGTGGTCTGGAGGGCATGCCTTTCCTCCTCCTTCAGCTTCCCCTTAGTCCTTGCCATCATTAACCACGCCCTCGTGACTAGCAACTCCCCCAGTCACGCCAACAAACTCTGATGGCCCCCATCACCCACCTTTGGCCTCTGGTCTAGTTCTTCCATAGCCCAAAGTCTTGAAGGATCAACCTGCATATACTTGGTGTGTCACACTCTCTCTTCAGCCTTCACCCATAAGACTGAGGTCCCCTCCACGTCAACCCAATTGCTTTTCTCAAGTTCACCAATAACTCCCCGAGGCCAGGCCCAATAGGCCCTTGTCTGTCCTCATGGTCCTTGACTTCTGGGCTGCATCCACCTCAGCTGCCCACTTCTTTTCACCTGAGACTTCTCGCTGGCCCCTCATATCATCATCATTTCCTGTTTGCTTTAGACTAAAATAATGGTTCTCAAGTGAGGGTGGTTTTGCCCTCTCAGGGGACATTTGGTAATGCTTGAGACGTTTTTACTTGTCACAACTGGGGGGAGGTACTACTGGCATCTAGAGGATAGAGGCCAGGGGTGCTGCTACACATCCTACAATGCACAGGGCTGCCCCTCCCCTAGATTAAGAATTATCAGGCCCACACTATCAAGATATCAGGCCCACACTATCAAGATTATTAAGGTTGTAGAGAAGGATATTACATTTTTGGGATTAGTTCTGCAGATCAGAGGTCTGTAAACTGGCCAGTGGGCCAAATCTAACCCATCACTTGCTTTTGTAAATAATGTTTTACTGAAACACAACCACATCTAATTCATTTATTGTATATGTATTGTCTGTGGCTGCTTCTGCATTACAGTAGCATAGTTGAGTCCTTCTGACAGAGACAGTGTGGCTTGCAAAGCCTAAAATATCTGGATCTTTTCCAGAAAGAAGTTTGCCCATATGTGGGACTGTTTGCTTATGTGAAAGGATGCTATAAATACTTTATAATCATTCCTAAGCCCATAAAGGAAGAAAAATCACATTGATTTCTAAGACAGAATCAAACAGAACTGGTGAATCCCAATTGTACTTGGGCAGGTTGAAAATTGTTTCAGGTAATGAATATAATTTCAGCAGGTAAAAGAGGCATTCTGTCAACATCTGCCTAATGCTTTTTCTCATTTGGAAAACCACAGAAAGTATTTCTATTTTCCATAAAAATCTTACTGGAGTTATGGTAGAAATATGTGCCAAGCAACAGAAAAACAAGACAAGGAGAACATTTAATGGATGCCATTGAAAGACAGCAAAAAAAACCAAAAAACAATCCACTGCCGTCGAGTCAATTCTGATGCACAGCGACCCCCTGAAAGATAGTCAGAAAGCTCTAAATACTAATTTTTGTTTGTTAAAATGTCCTTTGTCTCCACCTGGTGGAATAAGAAGTTGTAGCCTGTTTGAGCTGAGGGAGCCGAAGGTGCTGGCTACTCTCTGAGCAAACTGACAAGACCTCAATGGCTCTCAACTTCTACCCCAGAGCAAAGGGGGGAGTTAACTAACAGTCAGCTGGGGCTGCTTCATTATTTCAAATAAATATGCCGAATGATTAATCTGGTAGCATAGTGCCTAAGGCACTTGACTGCTAACCAGAAGACTGGCGGTTCAAACCCACCAGCCACTCCTCGGAAGGAAGGTTGGGCAATCTACTTCCATGATGATACTGCCTTGGCAACCCAAGGAGGGGTCGCTATGAGTTGGGTCTGACTCAACGGCACATAACAACAACGATTAATGTGGGGCTTCATTTCTTCCATGATTGAGTCAATGTGTGGTGGTGGGTGGTGAAAGATCAGTGTCTGGGCTCTGGACAATGTCAGGGCACAGAGAAGGGAATGGACATTTAAAGCTCTGGTAGTGCAGTGCCTAAGGCATTTGACTGCTAACTAGAAGGCTGGCGGTTCAAACCCACCAGCCACTCCTTGGAAAGAAGATTGGGCAATCTATTTCCGTAGAGGGGTCGCTATGAGTTGGGTCCAACTCTACGGCAGTGAGTTTTTACACTTCATGGAGGGGAAGAGAGCCCCACTGATGACATTACATGCTGCTAGTTCCAATTCACATTGGTGGGCACCACCTAAGAGAGTTGGGCTTACTCAGAGGCAGCACAGTATAGGGGCTCAGAGCACAGGCTCTGGGGCCAGACTGCATTTTTTTTTTTTTTTTTTTAAGTATTTATTTTCACTAATCATGTTTTATTTCACTAAATCCTCCCAATAGCCCCAGGAGGTAATTATTATTATTGCCCCCATTTGCCAGATGAAGAAACTGAAAGACTCCTCTAGGAAGAGGTAGGACCAGGATGTGAATTGCAGACGTTATGACCCGAAGGCCTAACTCCCTAATCCCCGTTCTATACTGCCTGCGTGGTCTGAGTCCCCAGTTGATCACCCATTTGCTGTACACTTTTGACAAATGGCTTAACCTTTCTGTGCCTCCGTTTCTAAAAAAGAAGTGACTGATAGTACCTAGGGAGCTCTAGTGGTGAACAGTACCTACTTCACAGGATTGTTTGACAGGATAAATTAATGAATATATGCAGAAATTCTTTAAAACAATTCCAGGCACATAGTGAGGACCTGATCAATGGCAGCTACCAGGAAGTTGTCTGAAGTAATCTGTGAAGATGTATAGTATACATGGAGGTCCCAGGTAGTCTGGCTCAGAGAACTAGGGATTGTTTTCTTGGCAGAATTTCAGCAGCTCCCTGGTGGGGAGATAACATTTCTCTTTACTTCTGAGGCAATGAAGAATATGGGAAGAGAAATAGCAAGGCTCCTAAAGGAGGTCATCCATGACGATGATGTACTTCTCCAAGTCCGGCAAGATCACTGAGAGTTAAACTGGAATTCTATACTGAATGTTGTGGGAGGGAACTGTGCATCATAATATTAATGGGCTCACCCTTACCATTTGGGAAGTTTTATTTTCTACCTAAAGTAAATAAACAAGCAAAGCAAAACCGACAGGACAGAACAGTGGCAGGAGCCTAGGCTCTGCATTCAGACAATGCTGGGTTCAAATTTCAGTTCTGCTCTTTACTGGCAGTGTGACCTGGGTGGGACAACAAAATCAGTACTTGATACACATAGGTCTGTCATATGAGGATTAAATGAGTTCATGTATATAAAGTATATAACATAATAAGTGCTCAATAAATGTTAGCTATTATTATTACTTTCCACTGTCAATTTCTGCCTCTTGGTGGTTGTTTTAAATTACACCTATAAGGGAAGGGATGATAAATAGGTTTTATTTCATGCATCTACTCTGATCAATTAATTGTGCCACAATGAAGAGGATTTTGGAGCCCTGTCTTAATATGGCTGTGGAGTGCAATGGTTGATCAGTATTGCCTACCCTGGGCACAGGGGTGAGCACCAGAGGTGGGAGTCCCCGGTATAGTCCATCCCTGCTCTAGAGAATTTCTGATTAGGTGCTTAGGGATGCAAAGAGAGTGACACTAGTGAATGTGGGTTGAGCGTGAAGGAAGAAGCGGGAATCAGAGTCCCACCCACTACTTCTGAAAAGAATAAACTTTTCCCCAAGAGGTTCACTCTCTCAAAATGTCCCTCCTCACCAGGCTTAAGACATCAGAACAACCATATTCTGAGTCAGAGACAAGACCTGCTCACCTTGAGGCACCATGGAGCCTCAAGGATGGTATGGGGGAGAGTTCTGAGAGTCTGGGTCCTTCTTCTAGCTAAAGAAACATTAGACCATCGTGGGCCTCATCTCCACAGAGCAATTATCTGTCACAAGCTTAGACTGCAACCCAGGTCCAGTTTCACCTACTTGCCGCACTCCTTGCAGGGGAAGATGGTGGTGGGATCTGTCTCACCACTGGTGGTGCTGTGGGAGGGCGAGCTCTTCACCGAGCAGTAACCACTCTGGGTGCTGCCAGGCTTCTGCTTCCCAGAGGGGACAGCACCACCACGGGCTTTGGTCACCTGGTTGGTGCCACCGTGGATGCGAGCATGGCCATTCAGTGCTTGCCGGGAGCTGAACACCTGAGGAAGAAAGGGAGTGACATGACATCTACAGTCCTGAAAAGGAAATTAGGGTTATTAGTTACTTACTGGTAAAACATGGGATACTTGAAACAGTGTATAACAGGGCTCAGGGTTTTATACAAGCAAAACTTTGAGCATAATGTCATAAAAAGCAGAGCTCAAATACCACAACCACAAATGCCGTGCCAACAAAGAAACCCCACTGTTGTTAAAACCAGAAGACAGATGATGTGGCACAGTGCAGAGGACAAAGCTGTTCTTTAGAAGTCAGGAGACCAGAAGTCTAGATCCAGCTCTGTCATAACTATCAGGGAGGCCATTAGGCCATTTCCCTCTGTGTGTCTCAGTTTTCCCATGCATAAAATGAAGGGGTTAGACCAGCCTTCAGATTTTTTTTTAAGTTGAGAACTAGCCCCTACTGTTTTCTCCTTCCCTCCCAACAAATCAAGTCTTTCTTCCCTCCCAACAAATCAAGTCTTACTCCAAAGCCCAATGTGTAAAACAATTCAAAGCAGCAGTGGCGCTGATTGCATGGAGACAGCAGCCCATAAGTGAGTCTGTTTGCTTAGCTCAATTTCCCCGAGGAAGCCACAGACACTGAGTAGCTGCTCTGGCATACTCTGTATGTTATATTCAAGCCCCAACCTACTGTTGAAGCAGTATTTCAGACCTCACGATTTTAATGCAGGATCATAAAAAAGGGGAAGGAACTGGTAGCCTTTTGAAGCTTGCCATAAAGTAGGGTTTTTCAACTTTAGCATTATTGACATTTTAGGCTGGATAATTCTTTGTTGTGGGGGTCTGTGTTGTATAGGAAGTTGAGCAGCAGTGCTGGCCTCTACCCACCAGATGCTGGTAACACCTCCCCAGTTCTAATAACCAAAAATGTCTCTAGACATCTCCAACTGTTCCCTCGGGGGCAATATCACTCCCACTTGAAAACTGGTGCAGTCAAGGGATATGACTTACACTCCTGAAGTCCAAGAGGATTAACTTATAGCTTGTTAAACTCATTGGCCAAATGGAGTGCCCACATAACTGTCCAGTTAGACAGATCTCTGGTTGCTCTTTGGTAAGTTCACAAGCTTGTTTATTTTCTTCGTTGTTGTTGTTAGGTGTGGCCAAGTCAGCCCCGACTCAGAGATTCTGTGTACAACAGAAGAAACACTGCCTGATCCCGCAGCATCTTCACAATTGTTGCTATGTTTGAGCCCATTGTTGTAGTCACTCTGTCAGTCCACCTCATTGAGGGTCTTCTTCTTTTACACTGACCCTCTACTTTTTCAAGTATGATGTCCTTCTCCAGGGACTGGTCCCTCCTGATAATATGTCCAAAGTACATGAGACGAAATCTTGCCATCTTTGCTTTTAAGGAGTATTCTGGCTGTCCTTCCAAGACAGGATTTGTTTGTTCCTCTGGTAGTCCATGGTATAGTTAACATTATTTGCCAACAGCATGATTCAAAGTCGTCAATTCTTCTTCCATCTTCCTTGTTCACTGTACAGCTTTTGCATGCATATGAGGCAACTGAAAAATACCATGCATTAGGTTAGGTGCACCCGAGTACTCAAAGTGACATCTTAGCTTTTTGCCCAAGGCACTATGTTATTTGATTTCTTGACTGCTGCTTCCATGGGCATTGGTTGTGGATCCAAGTAAAACAAAACCCTTGGTAACTTCAGTCTTTTCTCTATCATGATGTTGCTTACAGATTCAGTTGTGAGGATTTTTGTTTTCTTTATGTTAAGGTGTAATCCATACTGAAGCTATAATCTTTGATCTTCACCAGTAAGTGCTTCAAGTCCTCTTCACTTTCACTGAGCAAGGTTGTGGCATCTGCATATTGCAGGTTGTTAAATGATTCTTCCTTCAACCCTGATGCCGTATTTTTCTCCATTAGTCCAGCTTCAGATTATTTGCTCAGCCTACAGATTGATTTTAAAGCATGCAGTATTCCCTTGTTCTGTTCAAATGACTGCCTCTTGGTCTATGCATAGGTGCTGCATGAGCACAATCGAGTGTTCTGGAATTTCTCATCTTCAAAATGTTATCCATAATTTGTTATGATCCACGCAGTTGAATGCCTTTGCATTAATAACTTGTGTGTTATTAGTCAGTAATACACAAGTAAACATCTTTCTGGTATTCTCTGTCTCCAGCCAAGATCCATCTGACATCAGCAATGATATCCCTTGTTCCATATCCTCTTCTGAATCTGGTTTGAATTTCAGGCAGTTCCTGTTGATGTACTGCTACAACCATATTTGAATTATCTTCAGCATAATTTTACTTGTGATATTAATGATATTGTTCAATAATTTCCACATTCTGTATTGGATCACCTTTGGAATGGGCACAAACATGGCTCCCTTCCAGTTAGCTGGTCAGGTACTGTTTTCTAAACTTGTTGGCATAGACAAGTAAGTGCTTCCACTGTGGTATCAGTTTGTTGAAATATCTCAATGGGTATTCTATCAATTCCTGGAGGCTTGTTTTTCATCTTTTCCTTAGTGTAGCTTGGACTTCTTCCTTTAATACCATCAGTTCTATGCTACCTCCTGAAATCGTTAAACATCAACCACTTCTTTTTGGTACAGTGACTCTGTGTATTCCTTCCTTCTTTTGATGCTTCCTGCATTGTTCAGTATTTTACCCATAGAATCTTTCAATATTGCAACTTGAGGCTTGAATTTTTTCTAAAGTTCTTTCAGTTTGAGAAATGCTGATCATGTTCTTTCTTTTTGCTTTTCTAACTCCAGATTTTTGCACAATTTCATTTCAATATTCTACTTTGCCTTCTTGAGCAGTCCTTTGAAATCATCTGTTCAGCTCTTTCACTTTATTATTTATTTCTTCCATTTGCTTTAGCTACTCTACATTTAAGAGCAAGTTTAGATCTCTTCTGACATTTGTTTGGTCTTTTCTTCCTTACCTGTCTTTTCAATGACCTTTTACTTTCTTCATGTATGATATTCTTGATGTCATCCCACAACTCGTCTGGTCATCAGTCATTGGTGTTCAATGTGTCAAATCTATTCTTTAGATGGTCTTTAAATTCAGGCAGGATACACTTAAGGTTGTACTTTGGCTCTCATGCACTTGTTTTAACTTTCTTCAGCTTTAACTTGAGCTTGCGTAGGAGCAAGTGATGGTTTGTTCTGCAGTTGGTCCCTCACCTTGTTCTGATTGATACTGAGCTTCTCCATCACCTCTTTCCGTGGATGTGGTTGATTTGATTCTTGTGTATTCCATCTGGCCAGGTCCACCTGTATAGTCACCGTAGTGCCTAGGGCACTTGACTGCTAACCAGAAGGCTGACGGTTCAAACCCACCAGCCACTCCTCGGAAGGAAAGTTGGGCAATCCACTTCCATAGTGATACCACCTCGGAAACCCAAGGAGGGGTTGCTATCAGTCAGGTCTGACTCAATGGCATATAACAACAATAACAACATATCTTGAGAAAAGGTATTTGCAATCAATAAGCTGTAGGTCTTGCAAAATTCAATCATTCAATCTCTGATATTGTTTCTATCACCAAGGCCATAATTTCCACCTACTGATCTTTCTTTGTTTCCAGCTTTCACATTCCAATCACCAGTAATTATTAACGCATCTTGATCACATGCTGAATCAATTTCAGACTGCAGAAGTTGGTAAAAAATCATCAGTTTCTTCATCTTTGGCATAAGTAGTTAGTGCATAAGTTTGAATAATAGTATTAACTGGTCTTCCTTGTAGGTATATGGATAATATCCTATCATTAACAGCTTTGCTCTTCAGGACAGATCTTGAAAAGTTCATTTTGACAATGACTGCAATGACATTCCTCTTTAATTTGTCATTTCCAGCATAGTAGGTCATATGATTGTCTGATTCAAAATGGCCAGTATTAGTCCATTTCAGCTCACTAATGCCTAGGATATAGATCTTTATGTGTTCCATGTCATTTTTGATGACTTTGAATTTTCCTACATTCATACTTTGTAAATTCCACGTTCCAAATATTAATGGATTTTTATAGCTGTTTCTTCTCATTTTGAGTTGTGCCACATCAGCAAATTAAAGTTCTGAAAGCTTTACTCCATCTACGATGCTAAGGTTGATTCAACTTTGAGGAGGCAGCTCTTCCCCAGTTGTATTTTGAGTGTCTTCCAACTTGAGGGGTTCACCTTCTGGCACTGTATCAGACAGTGTCCTCCTGCTATTCATAAGGTTTTCATTGGCCAATTTTTTGAGAAGTAGATTTCCAGGTCCTTCTCCCTAATTGCGCTGTCTATAAGTACCACTGAAGCTGTCCACCATTAGTGATTCTGCTGATAACTGAAATACCAGTGGCATAGCTTCCAGCATCACAGGAACATCCAAGCCACCACAGTACAGGGGGAAAAATTATTTTTGTCCTCCATCCTTACGCAAAGAATCAAATCAACATGCCTTTTTCCCCGTGGTTTTAAAAATTCATCAAAAACATATCCTCCTTCTTGCCGAGTATTTCTGATTGGAACAAGTAAAAGATGACCTCCCATTCAGTAAAAAATTTACTGCATACCAGAACTGGGAACTGAGGAAGCATCCAATTTCTGAACAAGTTCACCGAGAAATACTGTCATTTACAGTCATATCTTTAAGTGTTCTATACAAAACGGCACTGATGGAGCGAGGCATCCATTAAACATCAAAGACAGAAACAAGCTAGCAATGTCTTACATCCTTTTGAAAGTGAATGCAAAATATCGATTGCTTTTTTAAAAAATATTCATTTTTTTTCTTTACTATATAAACCAAGTGAATTTTTGCTTCAGGATCTAAACATTTTAAAGGCTTTCTTTATCTAAATGACAGCCTCAACAAGCAGCATCCAATAAACTCTGGAAAACAACACTGCCCTATGTAATGAACAAATGTCAAGGAGACACTAATTCGTGGAAAATGGGGCTTCTTGTGAATAAAAGCCACAACTTCACTAATATCTCTAGGTCTTGACTGTACAGGTGTGCCTGGCTTTACGAAACTCCATTCAGGAAAAGCTCCAATTCACTCTGCCTGTGAGCAGAGAGGAAGGTTTTCAAACTAATGAGGACTGAGAAGAGTCCAAGGTAAGATCTCTAATATACACATGGTGCCATAGAGGACGCCATACAGCTTCTGGAAGGACTTCCTTCAGTAATAAGAATGAGTAATCTAAGAATTTTTTTTATCTTAACTAAATGATACTTCTAAAATACTTGAAAAGTACTAGCTTAAGTAATTACACACCGCCTTCCAGTCTTTTCACATGATTGATTTGCTTAGTAAATCTTTTTATTTTCTTGCAGAGTACAAAGATAAACTTTGGGTAAATCTTTGTAGTAACTTACCCAAATTTCAAATTAATGGCATTTGAATTAGGAATACTTTATTGAATATGAAATGTGAAAACTGTCCAGACTGGTAGAATTGCAGGAGGTGGGAGATAAGTAACTATGCTATAAAAAAATGATCTTCCTCTGTGGGTGCCCCTAGTACCTTTAAATGCATGTTTACGTGGCATGATTTGTCTGACACACAGCCCAGAGGAATGGAGAAGCATGAAAATGCATGGACGGAGAGTTCTGGAAGTGAGTGACCACTATAGAGCCATTGCAAAAAACAGTGAAGCACTCAGAGTCACACACTTCTTGTGTGCAGGGACCTCTTTTGTGTCCTCAGAGCACCAATCACGGCGCTTGATGATACACTCCATAAATCTTTGCTGTCCCAAAGCAATGGGAACACACAGTTCCCTCAGCCAAATTTGAATTGTTTAAGCCAAACCCTTTCTGAAAGGTATGTTCTCCTAAAGCAAGGCACAACTCTGCACAGGCTTCACTAGTCCTAGACCCCTGGAGGATGCAGAAATACTTACCGCTCCACAGTTGGGCATTTCACAGATGAAGGAGCCTGAGGGCTGGCTGACGGCCTGCAGGGGTGGCCCCTCTGTGGGGGCCAGGGCAGGGACTGGCGGAGGCGGCTCTGGAGACTTCGGGGCTTCACCTTCCTCTTCTTTTGTGGATTTCCTATCTTCTTCCAGGTCCTCCTCCTCCTCCTCTAGCTCTTCTTCTTCCTCTTCACTCGTCTAGTGTTACGGTAACAAAAGGAAAAGAGAAGTCCCCAAATGTCAACTTCGTGATGAAAAGAACTCACAGGCCAGTAGAAGACACACGGACTGATTCCTCTGTTTCTGTGTAAGGAATGGCTGGAGATACATAAGGTCTCTAAAAGCTTTGGTCTCTGTACCCTTCAAATTTTTAGGTCAAGGAAGCCCAGTCTCTTGGTATTAAGCCCATCCCTTGTATAAGCAGGAGCTCTGGTAGCATAGTACCTAAGGCACTTGACTGCTAACCAGGAGGCTGGTGGTTCAAACCCACCAGCCACTCCTTGGAAGGAAGGTTGGGCAATCTACTTCTGTAGTGATACTGCCTCAGAAACCCAAGGAGGGATCGCTATGAGTCAGGTCCGACTCAACAGCACATAACAACAACAACAACAACTTGTATAAGCAAACCTGGTGGGACAATGGGTTAAGCACTCGGCTGCTAAATGAAAGGTTGGTGGTTCAAACCACCAAGTGGCTCCCTGAAAGAAAGACCTAGTGATCTGCTCCTGTAAAGATCACAGCCTAAAAAACCCCATGAATCTGGAGGGATGGTCACAGGGAAGTGGTACCCATTGGGAGGAAGTGGGAGAGGAGATGTTACATTGGGCTAAATTGTGGTCAATGTCATGAGACAAAGTGTATGTGATCTGCTGTATGGAAAGTGTATTTGCTCTGTAAATTTTCACTCAAATCACAATTAAAAAAAAAAAAAAACATGAATCAATTCTACTCTATCACATAGGGTTGCTGTGAGTCAAAATTGACTCAATGGCACCTAACAACGACAACATCCCTTATATAAAAATATGCTAAGGGGAAGGAGGAGAGATTTCTGTACACAGAGTTTCTACCCTTTGTTGGAGACCATCAGACCTATAAGTAACCATTACGGATTTAACTGTGTCCCCCAAAATATGGGTTGGAATCTAACCTCTACTACCTGTGGATATAATCCTGCTTGGAAACAGAGTTTCCTTTATTTTGTTAATCATATCATATTCAAGTAGGGGGGGCTCTAAGTCTAATCACTTCTTAGTTATAAAAAGAGCAGATTAGATAAACACACCCACACCTACACAAATGGGGAAGACAGATACCATGTGAGGACTGTCTACAAGCAAGGAACCAAGGAATGTCTGGGATCACCTATAAGGAAGCAATTCACATGGCTGAGATTTTTAGCTTCCAGAACTGTGAGAAATAAATTTCTGTTCTTTAAAGCCTCCCACCTGGGGTATTGGCTACAGCAGCACTAGTAAACTAAGGCAGCGACTAAAACTCAGGCAGGCTGCCCCTCTTATGGGCAAAGGGGAGGGTTTTTAAGCAGTAACAGTACTGTGGGAACTTCTCTGGAGAGAGACTAAACACCTAGGATGATTTGGTTTATAGGCTGATGGCCTTCTAACACTTCACGTGCCTCACTGACATGCCTGATCTGATCCTTGTTATGTGGAAAGCACATGGCACACAGTTATGAAGTGCTCCTGGTCTGCTCTTTTCAGAAAATACAATGAAAGAGGGAGCCACTTTGAAAAATCACTGAAAAGAAAATGGGAGGGGCTATTTCCTTGAATTCATCAATTTCTGCCCTCCTCAAGGTTAACAAAGTAAGCTCCCAGAGCAGCTTGGAGCAGGCACTCTGGGTGGATTGGGGGAAGGGCAGGTTCTAAGAGGCTCTCTCTCATTCTCTCTTGCTCAGCTGTTGTTGGATGACATTGAGATCATTTTGATTCAAAGTGACCCCATGTGACTGAGAACTTTGATCACAGGGTTCTCTAGGCTGAAATCTTGATAGGAGCAGACCTTCCTTCGGTGGAGGTGCTGGGTAAATAGACAACCTTTTGATTAGCTGCCAAACTCTGGGGTCCTTCTTGCTCAAGTATCCCTACCTTATCTCTTCTTTCTCTGTCCTCACCTGAGTTGCAGGTGGAGGGATGCTGTCTTCTCCAGACCCAGAGAGGATTGAGGACCAGGGGAAAAACATCCTAGGTTATATTAACCTCATTCCAGCTTATATGTGCTGCACTTTATAGTTTACAAAGTACTTTCACACTTACCATGTCACTGAATAGGCTGTAAACAGATTTCCCATTTTATAAGCAAGGAAACAAAAGGTATATCCAACTGCCTCTGACCACTGATAGGCCACCTTTCTCTGCTAGGCTCTCTTTACACACTCACTGCTTAAAAGCATGTGGGCTCCCGTTTACTGGACCCTTGACGTCAATTTAACTCTGGGGGAGCCTATAATTCTTAGAACGCAGAAGTGAGGATTTCCAAGAAGGGTAAAGATTTCTGAGAGTGTCAATACCCTAGGATGCAGAAACCACAGTTTTCCCTTTCTAGTTTGGAGTGAGGAGTGAAGAAGAAAGAAAATGCCAGTAAATATGGGACATTTAGAACTCCCCTCAATGTTGTCAGTGTTTCTGGTATTTAATATCAACCATATATTGACTCAGGAGCTCTGGTGGCATAGTGCCTAAGGCATTTGACTGCTAACCAAAAGGCTGGTGGTTCAAACCCACCAGCCACTCCTCGGAAGGAAGATTAGGCAATCTACTTCTGTAGTGATACTGCCTCAGAAACCCAAGGAGGGGTCGCTATGAGTCTGATCCGACTTAAGGGCAGTGAGTTTATTTTGTTTTTTTGTTTATATATTAACTTGATGGCAGTAACTATATACTGTAATATGCATAGTTGAGATGATGTGTTAACACGGTACATTAACAGGTACCCTGTCTGTCAGTTTGTCATACTGTGGTGGCTTGCATATTGCTATGATACTAGAAGCCATGCCATAGGTATTTGAAACACCAGCAGGGTCATCCATGGTACACAGTGGGGCTTCCAGACTAAGACAGACTAGGAAGAAAGGCCTGGTGATGTCCTTCTGAAAACTGGCTAATGAAAACCCCATGGATCACAACAGAATATTGGAGGATGAACCCTCTAGGTTGAAAGGCATTCAAAATATACAGAAGCCACAACAACGAGCTCCAGCATACCAACAACATGAAGACGACACTGGACCAGGCAATGTTTTGTTCTGTTGTATATGGGGTTGCTATTAGGTGGCGCAGGAACTCTGGTAGCATAGTGCCTAAGGCACTTGACTGCTAACCAGAAGGCTGGCGGTTCAAACCCACCAGCCACTCCTCAGAAGGAAGGTTGGGCAATCTATACCTGGGAAACCACCTGGGAAACCCAAGGAGGGGTCGCTATGAGTCAGGGCCGACTCGTTGGCACATAACAAAACAACAACATTAGGTGGCGCCAACTCAGTGGTAACTAACACTATTTAAGAACACGTGCTGGTTTCTAGTGGGTTAATTAGGATTAATTTGTAATGATTACAGTGGCTGAAAGACTTCAATGAATATAGATGTAGGTGTAATACCCACATTTTATAGAGTGGTTTATGATATATGCTGCAAGCTTCTGAGCAGTGTAGAACATAAAGGCTGATTTCACTTCTATGGTCTTATCCCCACATGAATTTTACCCATCTTTCAAGCTTTTTACGTTTCAAGTAAAAGCAAATTATGCCAAACTCCAAGGCTTTACCCTATTCCTTTATCTGTTTGTTAAGCAGATTATTAAGTAATTTATTTTAGATGCCAAGTTGTATGAACTACAACTTGGCATCTAAAATAAATTATACAATAACTTGTAATGACAAAGGCATTTGTTTCATGGTACCTTTTATACATACAATTTTCTTGTAATGCCATTCTTAGGTTTAAAAACACTCAGAACAAACACTCTACATAGCCATAAAATTACAAAGTATACTCTACTATGGTTATGTATGTCTCAGGAATTTATATAGGCTTTATTTCAACTGGCAGTCTGTATATATATGCTCACAAAATAAACGATTTATCATCAAGCCACACAATAACTAAGAGATACATAGACAGAAGGACAAAAACCCTAATAAGCAGAACTTTGTATCAACAAATTGGCCATTTTATGTCATGTTATGAAAGGAAACATTCACTCATATTGCAAAATTGGTAAAAGGTGGGCAAATTGAGGATGGCGAAGTGGTTATAGTTTAACATAGTGTTTAAAACCTTGAGTATCCTCAATAAAAGTGTCTTGAGGAAGATGATATTTCTATTTCTCAGGCAGGAAATTGTAATTTGTCTGATGAGAAATTGTTGTTTGTTGTTGTTGTTATGTGCCGTTGAGCCGGCCCCGACTCATAGCGACCCCTCCTTGGGTTTCCGAGGCAGTATCACTACGGAAGTAGGAATGCCCAACCTTCCTTCCGAGGAGTGGCTGGTGGGTTTGAACCGCCAGCCTTCTGGTTAGCAGTCAAGTGCCTTAGCCACTATGCTCCCAGAGCTCCCCATGAGAAATTAGGACACTATAATACAAACGCTTAACAATCCAAATTTACTAAAAGATGCAAGTTTGAGTGTTGTAGTCATTGATGATGATGACATATTAAATGCTCGCTATGAATAAGCACTGCCTCCTGAACATACATTTTCTAGTCCTCACAACAACCTGATACAGATTTTTCTTTTTTAAAACAACTGAGGAAACTGGCCAGGAAGTAATTTTCTCAGGATCACATAGCTGGTCAAGAAGCTGAACTACGATTCAAATCCTGGCCTGTCTTACTCCAAAACCTCAGTCTTTTCCACTCCCTGGCCCTAATGCAGAAGTCCACAAGAACTAATCTCCCCCTATGCAAATAGCTTAGGTTTCAGCTGAAACATAGAGATCCTAACCACTCAAAATCACTGGAACTAATTGCCTTTAAATGTCAAAGAGAAGGTAACATTTCCCAAGTCCCTTGCTAATGGACCATATTGTGAGTAAACTGATGCTTAGACCACAAAACCAAACCAAACTCACTGCCGTTGAGTCGGATCCGACTCATAGAAACCCCTCCTTGGGTTTCCAAGGCAGTATCACTACACTGCCATAGGCAAGCTTTATTTCTGCCTGTGGAGCTGACTCCTGTC